ATCTGCCGCGCTCTTCGATTTCCCTCACCATTCTGAAAAATGTTGGAGCCAGAATGATCCAGAATTCTTTGTAGAATTCTACTGGGAACCCGTCTGGACCTGGAGCTTTCCTATTACTCATGCATTTAAGGGCTTCCTGGAGCTCCGCTGATGTTAGTGGCAAGTCCAGGACTGTAACTTGGCTGTCTGATAATTTAGGAAGTGTTATCCTGTCAAGGAACTCATTGATCTCATTCTCTGATGGGTTTATCTGTGGTGAGTACAAAGTTTGGTAAAAGTCTCTGAAGGTGTTGTTTATTCTTTCAGGGTCATTAACTATATTCCCGGTTGAGTCTTTAACAGCAGATATGGTAGTTTTCTCTTTATTTATTTTTAATTGGCTAGCTAAGAATTTACCTGATTTATTACTATGTTCGAAGTTTTCTATTCGTAGTCTTTGTGCTAAAAATTTTGTCTTTTTGTCAATAATTCCATGAAGTTCTAGTTTAGCTTTACGTAATTTGCTCATTGACTCCTCTTCTGTGGATCCCTGTAAAGACTTGATGATTTCCTCTAACTCCTGAATACGTTTGTTTTCAGTTTTTTTCCTATGTGATGAGAAACAGATTATTTTACCTCTCATCACTGCCTTTCCTGCCTCCCAGAGAATAGATGCTGATGTTCCAGGCAGGTCATTATGTTCTAAATATAAAGCCCACTCCTTTTTAAAAAATTCTATAAAACCTTCGTCTTTAAGCAGTGATGTATTAAACCTCCAGTTTCTGCTTGGTGGGACTGTCTTCTTATTTACCAGAGTTAAAGAAACCGGAGCATGGTCGCTGACAACTATGGGATGTATCTCAGTGTCTGAAATGTCAGCCAACAATGAGCTGCTGATTAGAAAATAATCCAAACGTGAATGAGAGTGATGAACGTGCGAAAAAAAAGTATACTCTCTACGGTTAGGATGAAGAGATCGCCATGCATCACAAAGCCCATAATCACTCATGTACTGTTTAACTATATTAGTGGATTGCCAATTGCGCTGAGTCCCAGCTGTACTGAGCCTGTCTGTTAAGGAATTCATCCAAAAATTAAAATCACCTATAAGTATAAGTGGACAGTCCAAGTGTTCGGAGAGTACAGAGAAAAAATTCTGAAAGAATGGAGGGTCATCAATATTTGGACAGTATATGCTGACAATACATAAGCTTTGGTTCTGTACAGATATTTTTAACATTATAAATCTACCCTCTGGATCAGCTTCTTAAAGGTAACGTTGCCAAGCTACATACATCTTTTCATTTTTTTTATTATCAAATTTATTGACGGGAAAAATGATTTCAATATAAGTCAGAAATTTCGATAACGATAATTTTTCGGTTCGTTTCCCAGTCCTACCATCAACATATAAAAAATGGACATTACCCCCCATTGCTCTCCCTGTTAGATGCTGCTGCTGCTGACTGGAGCATCGCAAAACCAAGGCTCATCTATGGCCACTGGGTTGGCTAGCATACCTGCTGAACACCTAAGGTATGCTAGCAGTAGTTAGCACCACTCCTTGCTATATGCATTTCATAATTTCTTGCTCATGGATGTTTGCCTGATTCAGTGCTAGCTGTTCAGTTGGTCCCAGTGATGAAAGATAAGGGTGGGAGAGGTGGTAGCATGGATACCTATAGGCCCATTGCTCTGGCTAGCACTCTCTCAAAAGTCTTGGAAAGAATTCTGCTGGACAGAATTAATGACGCCTTAAAAATCACAGGCAGTCAGTTTGGCTTTGAGTCTGAGCGTGGTACAAACATGTGTATATATGCCCTAAAGGAGATCGTGACCAAATACAGAAACCAGAACTCCTCAGTCTCTATGTGCTTCATTCCAGCATTTCATTCATTGTCTCAGTTATTGTTGAACAAGGAATAATCTCGGGCCTGTTCATTTCAAAATCAGGTCTGGATTAGTCCTCAGTTCTGTGAAGCCAATTTGTTGCTGGCTATTTTCCTGTGCTTAAAAAGTCTGTGTGTGTCTTTGCTGTTTTCACCCTGAGGTTGTAAATTTTTATGATTTGGTACGGTCTCATGGTTTTGATGTAACCTTTCTGACATCTTGAGATGGGAGGGGGGCAGGAGTTGTGTCTTTTATCTTATTAAAGAGTCCAGGTGCATGAGCTAATTTAGTAAATAAACAGACCGTGTACTCGTAAAATCGATAAGATCGCTAAAACAAGCAGGAGGAAAGAAGATTTACTGATTACTCCCCAAGGCCAGAGAGAAGAAAGAACGAAACAAAGGAGGGGCAGGTCACCAGAGGAGCAAAGGTAGAAAAGATGGGTGGATTCGGAAAGGAACCAATCAGCAGAGCCTGCCGAGGGGATGATCCCAGAGAGGGGATGAGGTAATCCTGAAGAGGAAGATCATGTGACCAGACGTGGAGTCCCAGAAGCCGGGGGGGGGGGGGGGGGGGGGGGGGGGGGGGGGGGGGGGGGGGGGGGGTGGAGAGATGCACCCCTGAAGAGTACAGAGAGGAAGGGGGGAAGGAAGGAGATAAAAAGGCAGGGAGAGAAAGTTCGACAGCGCGTGGCCAGAAGCTTGTTCTACTGAGAAAGTTTTTTGATCTTGTCTGTGACCCGCTGCGACAGGATTTTCATTTTTTACCTGTGTTTGGAATAAAATTTGGTTCTCTTCTGTGAGGAACGTAAAAGGTTTCCACGTCTCCGGGGGTCTCCTCTTGTCAGTAATCTACAGAGAAAAGGTGAGGTGCTGGTAGTTTACCGATAATCCTAGTCAAAGGTGAATGCTATTAGGTGTTAAAACCATCCTTTGCTACAGTTAAATTAGCTGTTTCCTCAGCATAAAGGAACAGCTGATTAGAGTCTTGACCTGAGGCTTACATGAGCTGAAGGAATAAGAAGTGTGTGTGTTGGTGTAATTTAAAGTCTTCCTTGTGTCCACTTAAAGATTATATTGGTCAGAATTAGAAGCCCTGGGTAATTTCAACTCTCTACAGAGTAAGGGTGTTTGTTGGTACTTAATGCCACGCCCACTATACCGATTACAAGTCAAACCCTGAGATTTTAAAGAGTGAGAGCTAGCCCGGTAAACTGACTTCTAACAGTTATCTTGTTTCAACCATCATTCACCATAATTTGCTCATTATTGTTCCTAACCCTCAGCCCACGTCTGCCTGCTGCCCGTCCGCCCTGCGCTCCCACCGCTCACCTTTCCTGAAGTCCAGGACAATAACCTGTTCGACTCTTCAAGCCACCACCTTGCCTACAAGCTCACCACCTCCTCAGATCTGACTCCTTCCCTCCCCCTCCAGCCCTCAGCTACCAACAATACAGTAAGCCACAACTCTCCGTTCACATCAGCTACCAGTCTGCAGCCAGTTAATTCTCTCATTTCCAGAATCTCTCGAGCCCGAGATTAGGAAATCAAAGCAAACAGGGTTTATTTAAGGAAAACTAAGTCTGAGACTGAATCTCCGTGTCCTGGGTCAAAAAACTCAACCCCAACATGTCAACTATTCATAAAGCTGCTGCAAAGAGGTGTTCCAAGCAGGTGCGCAGATAGGGTGGGGGACAGGGAAGGGGGGGGGGGGGGGGGGATCTGTCCCCCCCAGATTGAGATTGACCCCGATCCGTCCTCCGCACTAAGGCCAGAAAGAAAGCAAAATCGGAGGTTAAGCGCTTGAAGCTCCTCTTTCAAATTACATAGAATGCAGCATGATGTAAACAAACACCGACTCCAGAGGCGCCAAAGTGGTTGCTGCTAGGATGCAGGATGAAGCGAAAAAGGCAAGCAACGATTACTGCGTATTTAAAAAAGACCAACAGTGTAAGCAGGCGGGACCGATCTGTCTGTTTATGCGTGTTGGTTCTAGTTTCAGTACGTTGTTGTCAGTGTTGGGATTTACTCGTTATAAGCACCAAAGCCTCATTGCTGACTTTAACAAGTCTCATCTACAAATATGATCCCTCATGAAGTTACTATTTTACATCAGAAGATAGTGGAGATGTGGAACCTTCAGGCTGAGCAAAGTTTGGGAGTTTTTAGAGTTTGAAAATCGCTTCCCACCGAGAGGCTCCCAGTCGGGGAGAGGAGGAGATAAGTGGAGCACGAAGAGCACAAATATTAGATAAAACGTATAATTGCCGGCAGGTCTGGTCTTTGTTGACTGATCACTTTGTCTGGTCATGACTGACTCTGATTATGAAGCAGAATATTGACTCTGATGAAGAAATTCACTCATCCAGCCGGGAAGATTGACGCTGCTGCAGCATCAGACAGCTGGTGCTGCACGAGAGGTGTGTGGAGTTTACAAGCTCCAAACGTTGGGTTTGATGTTGGTTAAAGCCGGGCGTACACTGTGCGACTTTTTCACTTTTTTGAGCCGATTTTCCAGTCGTGCGAGAATCCACGACATCGGGGCGAGTTTTGCGCCGAGCGGTTGTGTAGTGTACAGGAGGTTACAAGAGGCGATTAACACCACGTGACCAGCTGCCGATCAGCAGTCGTGAGGTCGCACGGACTTCTGGAGTGTTTAATATTTCGCTCGTCCCTCGTGAGGGTATTGCACTGTTGAAGCGGCGCTGCGAGCAGCTGCGACCCAAAATGTATCAGAACTGCTCACGGCACATGCATCAACGCCGCTCCCCGCTATTTCCCTAATAACACACGCTGTTCGTTTTAATTTCTACACGTTTTTTTTACTCACAAAGATTGTCAAGAAAGCGTGTTTGTCGTGTTCATGTCAAATTAAACTGATCACAAAACACAGATTTACTTTATTTCGTTTTCCTCATCCAACCCCCATAAATCGCTGTGTGTCCTCCTGCAGCACTCCCGAAGGACAACAGGCAAAACAAGACAAAAAAGTGTTGCGTAAAAACTGCTATTTTTAGCATATTTTTAGGGCTGACGTATTGCTACCAGACGTACAGTGTGAGCAGTCAGGTCGCATCCGAGAACTGGGTCGTACAGTGTGAGCACCTGGCTCGTGAGATCTGCCCTGCAGATGCCGATGCGTTATGTATGGAATTCAAGTGTGTCACATAATCATAAAAAAGTAAAATATAAAATTTAAAAAGAGCTTTATATATTTATATTTAAATAAAATCTTTCCAACTATAATGAAAGTTTCTAAATAACGTAAAAATACGAAGGAACATCTGTTGGTCAGGCTGAAAAGTTTGGTAACCACTGCTCTAAGTGATAAGTGAATATTGTTATTTAAATAACTCCTCCCATGCCTGGGTTTTTGCCTTAGCGACCACCCGAGCAGCATTCCGCTCGGACTGCCGGTACCCATCAGCTACCTCTGGAATCCCACAGGTCAAAAAGACCTTCAGCTTGACAGCATCCCTAACCGCCGGTGTCCACCAGCGGGTTCGGGGGTTGCCACCACGACAGGCACAGACGATCCTGCGACCACAGCTCCGGTCAGCCGCCTCAACAATGGAGGCACGGAACAGGGTCCATTCAGACTCAATGTCCCCCGCCTCCCCCGGAACATTTTGGAAGTTCTGTCGGAGGTGGGAATTGAAGCTCCTTCTGACAGGAGACTCTGCCAGACGTTCCCAGCAGACCCTCGCGATACGTTTGGGCTTGCCTGGTCTGACCGGCATCCTCCCCCACCATCTGAGCCAACTCACCACCAGGTAGTGGTCAGTTGACAGCTCCGCCCCTCTCTTCACCTGAGTGTCCAAGACATGCAGCCGCAGGTGGAACAACAACAAAGTTGATCATCAAGCTGCGGCCTAAGGTATCCTGGTGCCAAGAGCACATATGGACACCTTTAAGTCTGAACATGGTGTTCATTATGGACAATCCACAGCCTGGACCTGGTTCTCTCTTTTGGTCTCCCTGTTATGAACCTTGTAACTTTGCCTCCTGTGTTCTCTGACCATTCTCCAATACTCGTGAAGTTACTTTGCCATGTCCTGTCCCTGTGTGTGAAGCACCAGCTACTAGGTTCAGAGCCCTGGATGCAGAAACTGTTGCAATGTTCATGGACTGTATGTCTGTAAGGTTAGAGACCTTTAACCCAGATCCATCTAACATTAATCACTATTCACAACACTTTGATTTACTTTTTAATCAGGTCCTGGATGTGGTTGCCCCTCTCAAGCTTTGCAAGTCTAGGCCTAGGAGGGAGGCTTGGCTCTCTGATGTCACACGGGCTTGTAGATCCTCTGAGAGAAAGTGGAAAAAGGATGGCCTACAGGTCTTGCGTGAGTTGTTCAGAGCATCTCTGGTTGCTTATCAGGATGCAGTGAGGGTTTCTAGAACTGCATATTTTGCAGACATCATTGAAACAAACTCTAAGAATCCCAAGATTATCTGCAAAACACTGAACTCTGTTCTGGTGTATCAGGAGTAGAGCTGAAACAACTAATCGATTTAATCGATTATAATCGATTATTAAAATAGTTAACTTTTTTAGTCATCGATTAGTTGTTTAATAATCATATTTTACCGCATAAAGTCTATTTTTACCACAATCTGACATCGGTTACAATCTGTTAAATTTGCCGCCAGTGTGTGGCAGTAATGAGCCACTGATCTACCAGTGGAGCCGTAGAAGATGAAATGAGCCAATGAGTGCCCTCGGTTTTCATGACGTATCACGTTACTGACGCTCATCTTGCTGTGAGAGATGGCGGAACAAGAAGAAATACGGAAGAAAAATAGAAGCGACAAAACTGAAGAGAAACCCCAGACTTCACTCTAGATGCCTTGAAAAGACGGGTGACCTGCAAAATATGCAAAAACCATCTAGCATGGCACGGAAGCACGACGTCCCTAAGTGAACATTTGAGACGAAAACATGTGGGAGCTGATGCAGCAGAGGAAGAGCACCGCGGTCAAGTGAGCCGTCATTTGGAAGAGCCAGCCCGGTAAGTAACAGAAAATAAACAAGCTGGACTTAGTGTTTTAGCTGAGTTCGTTATAGTGGATGTTAAACATGTTTTTTTGCCGCGTCAGTCTACGGTGTTCTACTTCTGATTGACTAGATGCAATCGTGAATCTCTGTGTTGTGTATCATGCGCTTGCCAAATTTAGCACGTCTGTTTATAAGAATGTTCTCGTTAAGAGAAAAACGGCACAAACCCAAAACTATGTTCCTCATTCAAAAAAGGACAACTCCGCGGAGAAAAATATACAGACGAGCTGTGTCCAGGTGAATATAACGCGGCATAGTTGTACGCTTTCAATTTTTAAATACAGGAGAAATTCAGAAAAAGTCATTTTTTACTATTAAAAGGCTGTTTTACTGTCTAACGCTGTAAAACGCCTCACAACACATTTTATCATGTTTCTTAAACAGTATTACACAAAATAAACATTTTTCACATTTTCTAGCTAATTTAAACACTCCCGACTCAAAATAAAAACCTCATGAGCTTCTTACTTAGAGCTTTTTAATAGTAAAAAAAATTAGACTTTTTTTCTGAATATCTCCTGTTGCGGGCTATTTTGTAGAACGTAATCCTCAAAATAAATGATCACTGTATATTGTTAATTAATTCAAATAATGTAATATTGATTTAGTGTTGTAGTGTGTGTGCTGCTATATTTTATATGTGTACTTATTTCAGTCTATTTGTGTTTCTTATGCAGAAAAAAACAAGCAACGATGGACAACTACATGGGGAACAAGACACTCACCCCCCAGCAATTCATACCACTTACAAACTCTATTCTAAACATGCTGGTAAAAGACATGAGGCCACTACCCATGGTGGAAGGAGCAGGCTTCCAGCTAATGCTAAAAAATTATTCTGGACTGATATTTTGCACTGTTTAGCTCATTTTATACTGCTGACTGTTCATGTGCAATAAAATAGATTGCAGTCAACTGCACAATTTTCTTATATTTTTTTTCTTAACTGAAATGCATCCATCACTTGTATAGGTTAAATAGCTAAACAATAACGAACCGATTAATCGATTAATCGAAAAAATAATCGATTATGAAAATAATCGTTAGTTGCAGCCCTAATCAGGAGCCTAGCTTCATGTTTCCTACAGCTGCTGGAAACTCTGAAGATTTTCACAAATTATTTGTTCACAAAGTATCAGGCATTAGAGCAGCTATTTCTGGTAACTCTATTGACTCTGTTCCACTTCCTCCTTCACCATCCACCCTGAGCTCCCTCAATGCCATTTCTTATTCTGAGCTGAGTAAGCTTGTTGCAAGGCAGAAGCCATCTGGCTCTCCACTTGACGTTTTGCCACCTCGTCTCTGGAAAGCTGCCTTTCCGTGCCTTGGCCCATCACTTGGTCAGATTATCAATTGGAGCCTCAGCACAGGTGTGGTCCCAGCTGCTTTGAAAGCAGCAGTTGTTCGGCCGACCCTGAAGAAACCTGGTGCTGATGTCTCTGTGATAGAAAATTACAGGCCTCTCTCTACCCTGCCTTTTACATCAAAACTGCTTGAGGAAGTTGTTTATCAGCAGCTGGTCTCAAGTTTAGCTGACTCTGATCTGTTTCAGGTTTTCCAATCAGGGTTCAGGTCTGGCCATAGCACAGAGTCGGCTCTACTGAGGGTCTTAAATGATATCTATCTATCACTAGATCAGGGTACATCTGTGGTGCTTCTGTTGTTAGATCTGACGGCAGCTTTTGACACAGTTGACCACGCGATTCTGCTTGATCACTTGGAACGATGGGTTGGGATCAAAGGGTCTGCTCTGGATTGGTTTAGATCGTATCTCCACAACAGGACATTCTGTGTTAAACTGGGTGATGTTTTCTCTTCTTGGGAGGGGCTCCGCTGGGGGGTCCCGCAGGGATCGATCCTTGGTCCTCTTTTGTTTGCCATTTATCTTCTTCCTCTGGGGTCAATCTTTCGTAAACATGGCCTAGCGTTCCACCTCTATGCTGACGATTGCCAGATTTACTCTCCATTGTGTCAGGAGAAAGGTCTCTCAATCCAGTCCTTTGTGTTCCGTCTTAACGAGGTGAAATCTTGGCTAAGGGCCAACTATCTGCATCTGAATGAGGGAAAGACAGAGCTCATTGTTTTTCACCCCCAATAGCAGGGCTGTGGGTCGTTACGTTGATCTTGGCCCTCTTTCTCCCTACTCAAAACCAGTTGTCACCAGTCTGGGGGGTGAAAATTGATGCTGGACTTAAATTTGATGCGAACATCAACTCTGTGATCCGGTCCAGTTTCATTTATCTGAGACGCCTTGCAAAAATCAAGCCTATGCTGTCGAGAGCCCACCTGGAGCAGGTACTCCATGCTTTTGTACTTTCTAGGCTTGATTACTGCAATTCTCTATATCAGGGATTCCCAAAGTGTGGTGCGCGCACTCCCAGGGGTGCGCGAGCTGCCGCTAGGGGGTGCGCAAGGTAAAAAGTGTAATGGCTGCAGAGCTCAGAGAAGTCTGTCATATGTCACCATTAGCGTAGCCAGAAACTCATTTGTGGGTGGGCCTAAGAAAAAGTAATTGGGCACAATAAATTTAATTGAAAACAAGTATATTTTCGCGCGTGTGTCCTCCACATGTGCCCTAACTTCATAATAATAATGCGCCGAGCTTCAGCACTCTGGCCTGCGCACGCCGATATGTTCCGTATTTGATCATTTTTAACGGTGTTGGAGGAATCTGAAGGTGGTGAGTCATTCTGACAGATTGTAATTAACACCTGTCTCATGCAGGTGTTCTGACGTTGTAAACCTCACACACAGAACATTGTGGATGTAACTAAATAAATCAAGGAATGATTCCCATTCAGGCTATTAACAGCGCGCTGAAGATCTGAAGTTCAGAGTGCGTCTGTCAGAGGTCAGACGCGTTCCAGCGGAACCACGGCTCACGGGTGCACAAGTAAGCACATCTGGGCAGAAGTTTAAATAGCGCCAATAACGAGACGCAGTGACTTAAACGCTGCAAGTTGTGAAGCGCGTTCCATCCGCGAGCGGCATCACCAAGTGGAAAGTGAATGCGTCAACCATAAACCAAGCTTCATGGAGCTGTGCCACGCGCACGCGCACACACACACACACGCGCACACACACACACACACACAAACGCGCACACACACGCACACACACACACACAGAGATTCAATAAGCACGCACGGAGCGCTTACAAGTTTAATTTATCCAGACAGAGAAAAAAGGAACAAATACGGCGCAAACTCCGGCGCGCCGTCAGACTGAAAGCAGAAATGAGCGCTGCCTCCACTGTGATAAAAACTTTTAAGAGATTTTATAACAACATTTTTCATTCAAGGCCAAATTAAGATATTAGCTTCTATTTCGGGATGACGTATTAAAGTCAGGTCCGCTCCAGCCAGTGACTCCGAACCTGCAGCATTTGTTATTCCAGTCCGCGTGGCAGCGGATCGCAGATTCAGCCACACCATAAAACAGCAATAAGTCGGTCTGAGGCAAAAGTGAACCTCATGGCTATATCTTTTCCATGTTTTCCCCTATAGACATTTGTTTACGCACAAGTAGGTGATCAGTTCAGGTTTATGCAGAGCAGAAGGAAGGAGAGCACTCTGGCCGCACAGGTTAAAAGTTCCTACTTTAAGAAAACCGTTAAATTGCATTGTTTATGTGCTACCTGGGCACTCTAAATATTTATTTAAAATTAAATCAAAGGAAATTGTAATGGTATTGAATGTTTATTAATTGCTATTTAAAAAATGAAAGTGATGGGGGAAAAGGTCAATCATATTTTTTTTAACCCTGTCTGTTTAGCTTGACGTCCATGCACTGGCTTCCGGTCTGTTATCGTTCACACTGTAAACTCCTCGTCTTTGTTTACAATTTCTTCCAGGGTGGTGCTCCCCCCTATCTAGCCACACTCCTGAACAGACATTCCCCATCACACACTGCTCTGTGTAATTACACATTGTTACACAATAAACTCTACTGAGGTTTTCTGTATATTATATGGTTTTGCTAATCCTTCCCAATCTCTTTACAGGAACTGCTCTAAATGTAGAATTGTTGCATCACAGTAAATTCACTTCAAGATGTATGAAATAGCTCTTCTTTAGTTTATGATGGTGTTGATTTAACTGATTTCCATGATCTCACTTGTATCTCTGTGAACTGCTGTTTGATGTTATTGTCAGTTGTGTTTGCCTTATCGTGTTTTATTATTTTATTTGTTCTTTATTTTATTATTTTACTTTATTAGTTCTTTGTGTTGTTTTTTTCTTTTTGTTTGGTTATCCTATTCGGATAAACAGGAGGGATTATGTTATGGAAATGTTATGTTTATTATTAACTGAATGTATTACTCTATGCCTGGTAGAATCCCCCCCCCCCCCCCCCCCACACACACACACACAGTCTTATCTTTGTTATAAATAAACTCTGAGAGCAGAAACTCGGGGCAGTTGCCTTGAGCTTCTGCCCCTGATTGCAGTTTGGTGACTTGTCTGCTTGTTGTCTCTCCTCTCTCTCCAGCTGCAGGTATTGGGTTATTAATACAATCCCTAACAGTCATGTAATCATTAGTTTAGAAATATAGAATTAAACTCATTTTTATAAACTATATTCTTGAATCTGTCTGAATTAATATGAAGTGTGTGTTCCTAAGGTCGTATTAAATCAAATATTCAAAGACCAATAAGATTGATCATTTATAATTAGATGGAATATCACATCTTATTGATCATTCAGTAAAAGTAACCACTTCCATCACGTTACACCATCAGCATGGCTCTACACTTCATCCTGCAGCATCTGGACTCCCTGGGTACCTACACCAGGATCCTGCCAGAAGCAGAAACAGCTGGAGTTAGCAGGTCAGATCCACGGTGTGTAAAGTCCACTCATGGAGGGAACAGGAAGGGAAACCACTGAAGAACCAGGATAAACAGACCCGAGGAAACATGGACGGAGACACGGCGCTGCCCCGTGGCCAGGCGGGAATGTGGAAACGGACCTGTGGCTATTCCAAACACAGGCGCCATCTTGTTAGCGGCCAGAAGCAGAGTATGGGTGGGATGAGGCTGGCCCATACTCTGGAACAGCAGCTGCTATGTGTGGACTCTCATGTGATTTGTTTGTTTACATTTGTAGTAAACCTTTCTCCAGTCATCATGACTAAATGATTTAGGTTTCTTCTGGACTTTCCTGCACGAGTCTACATGTTGCTTCACTCTAACACATTTCTTATGAACCAAACAGCCTGAAGACCTGACTGCTGGATGACTCGTCGCCCTCACGTGTCTCTGGAGAGACCACTTGTGAAGAACTTGTTGACAGACTTACCATCTGACTCAGAAGACCTGCTCTCATTCCAGTCATCATCTTCATCTCCAGTTTCAGACCCAGAGTCTGACAGCTCAGAGTCCAGATTCACATCTTCATCATCATCATCATCTTCATCATCTCCACTAACTTCAGTCTCTGAAGAATCAGATGTTTGTTCATGAGGGTTCAGATCTGGGTTCCTGCTAGTTCCTGCTCCTCCACCAGTTTCTGCGGTCATCTGGTCAGCTGAGCTGCTGGTTGGAACATCTCTGTCTTCTATTTGCTGCTGATGAAGCTGTGAGACCAGAGGTTTCTCTTCATCATCCTCACTCTTTATAGAAACAGCAGTAACAGGAGACCCGACAGCTTCAGTCTCCTCCTTCAAACAGAGATGCTCTCCCTCCAGACTGGTCCAGAGCTCCTCCTGTTCCTCCTTTATGTGGAGGTGTTCTGGGTCCTGCTGGTCCACACCAGCACTCTGTTCTTCAGGATCTTCTTCTTTAACCAGCACCAGCTGTTGAACATCTGTAGGAAACACAGACACATGATGTTACACACCACCATACCTTTATATTTACACCACGAGTGATACCGGCTACATGATGTGGGGAAAAGGAACAAGAACATGAACTTCATTTAGATAAAAACATATTTCTACTTTAGGATCAATAAAAACTTCCATCACAATCAGCGTGTTTGGTTCTGACCAGAACTTCTAAGCCTCCTACTGTCAAGTGTTTTCTTCCACTGTGAGGTGCCGACACTTGGAAAGAGCAGACTTTGGATTTCACTCAGAACAATTTATTTGACCAGTACTGAGATGAGTCCGGGTTCAGGAACCAGTCAGGTGGAAAAGCTTTAAATAACAAAAATAAACATGTAACTAAATCATGCAGATAAACTTCAATGCTGTTACAGGTAATACAGAGCAAGGAGAACACACCAGCATCTTTAGTAACCTTCAGTTGGGCGTCTAGTTTTAGACAAGTACTATTCTATCTGCTTTTACAAGTACTGGCTGCTAATTCAGAGATGAATCATTTCACAATGAAGCAAGGATGAAAAAAGACTGATTTTACCAGACAAATAATTAAATACATGAATACATCTGTTTTCTGCCTTAACTTGCTTTCATTTAATTTACTATTATTCCTGCAGTCATTTCTGGCACTCCAGACGTTAACACACTTCCTCTCAGTAAATTCCATTCACACCCAGACGGATAAAGAGTCCATATAAAGACGTGAATCCAAGAGCTTACCGACAGCCCGTCAAGATCAAAGTCTTCCTCCTCACAGTGTACCCATTTGTGTTCGCTCTGCACTCCTCTCAGTCTGCCGCGCGCTGGGCAAAAGCTTGTTGCAGACATTTTGGCTGTACTTCATTTCCCCCGAGCACGAGCTCTTAATTGCCTCAATTCTGCTCACCTGGCGAGGCGCGCGCCGGAGCGCACGCAGGTTCCATCTGCGGTCACGCGCTGGCAACGCGCAACGGAGTCAGCATGTAGGGAAAGGATGAGGAACAATAGAGAGGGGCAGCCACACCTCTAAGGTCAGCGCAACACCTACTCACAAATCATTATTTAGATCTGAAGCTGATGTGAGGAGAAACGTCTCCAAGATCAAATCAGCAACTATTCAGTCAAAAGGAAAATGAATAAACACTTAGATGTAGCTGCTGTCAGTAACAACCTTTAACTTTGAAGCTCTCAGCAGGCTAAAGCACTACAAAGCAAAGGAACCTTACAAATTAGCATTTTGGGAGATTTATTGTTGTTATTATATTATTATAATGATTATTATTGTAGTTGTTATTATTATATGTCCTGTAGTGGGTTACTTGGTGATTGAGCAGTGGGCGGAGCCTGTTGTTTTCTACTCATTGTCTTATGTTCTAGCTTTAGTGTTCAGCGTTTTATTGTAACTCCTTGTGTGACCTCAGTCTGGGACACGTGCTGTATGAATAAACTTGGTTCTTCTTCCACCACAGAGAAAGGCTGCTCTTCCAGCATCATGAACTTCCTTATGGTCCGGTTATTAGCCGAGCCTTCCGACGCTCATACAGACGGGTGTTGGTGAGCGTAGCTGCGTCTGACTGGGAGGTGTTTATCTCTGCAGCGATCCCTGGAAACTCACCTCACTCCACCCAGATGTTGTTCTTCACATCTTATTAAACCAGCTGTGATCAGCTTCCCCAGGAGCTGGAGCTTTTCATTGCAGGACTCAAAGCTTACATCACTCTCGCAGACAGAGTTAAAGTTAGGCGGACATGTTGTTTTACATTGTTGCTGCTGTCCTGCACAGCATGAAGGAAAAGGGGAAGAACCCCAAGTGCATCACACAGGGTTCACACAGGTGTTGCTGGTATGATCAGAACATCCCAAACTAACACCAACGTAGATAAACAATAAACAACTTGTATTAAGTACTGATGAGCTATCTGCAGGGGAACAGGACCAGCTGGCATCCTCACACAAAAAGGAGGAATGGGTGTCTTTTATAGGACAGCCAGGCACTAATTGGTGTGTTTCCATTACCGAAACTTCCCAGTATGACCGTCTCCACTTCACCGAAGCCAGCCGAACCGGTCGTTTTCCAGACCTTTTGAGAGTCTTTGCAGGTTCTGTGGCCTCACCCAGATGACCCGCGGGCAAACCCAGTTCTAACCAGAACTGGGGGACGGAGGGTTTCAAAGCATCTGTCAGCATTCATTCTGGACAGTTTTACTTATTTTATGCTTCTTTGTGAGAAATGTCCTCATGTCCCCGTGTCTGTGGAGGGATCAGACAAGGACACTGCTTATTATGGGATAGTAATGGCACTGACTCCTCCTCCAGCTTCCACAAGCCTGTAGTTTCACTTTGGTTCGTTCGGTCTTTTATTTTCTAACTTTGTTGACAACCATGTCAGTCACGCCCACCATGCGTGCAGCAGAGCAACCAGGAAAACGTGGAACGGACTTCAGCCGACTGAGTCATTTCTAATGAATCAAGTGGAATGGAGTTCTTTGAGAACAATGGAAAGAGCAAAAGGTGTGTGTGTGTGTGTGGGGGGGGGGTCCCTTCTGACATAAAGGTTGCGACTAGGGCTGTAGCGAAGCCTCGACAAAGTCGACGGCTCGATTCTAAAAATTTGTCGACGTCAGATCCGGAAGTCGACGCACCGCGCCCACTTGTTGCATCCCCAGGAGTTTGTAAATAGAGTAGGAATCTGCCTGTTTTTCCTCTAGTTCGCCCTCTTCTCCGCCTTCACTAACATCTCCGCCAAATACCGAAGACCCGGAACAACGTCCGTCCACTACTAGATTATTTTCCTGTTTTGCCCCTTCGTCTCCCGGCAACGGACAACAACTTCCGGGGTCAGATGCGCTGCTTCGTGTCTATAGCAGATGTAGAAAATCACCGGGAGCGCTTCTCCCTTCATTAAGGAGCTTCTTTCAGACATGAGGAGAGCTGTTTTGGTGGTAGCAGTCTCTCCTCCGTGCTGGTCTGTTTGCTGCTGGGTGTTTTTGGTTTATTTAAACTTGGTAACTTGAACTTAATGTTGGTAAAGCTACTGTTAGCATCTTCGCTAACAGCTTCTTGCGTTGGGATAAGCTGTTACGTTTTGGTTTAGAGTTCATCTTTTTTGTGGTGTAGATCGGAAGTTACGGTGTAACTATGGTTCTGTGAGTTCATGGATGACTGCCAGTCACAGGGGTCACTCGGAACTTCTCGGGCGAGAAGATCCCGGGAGACCCGAACGTAGCTATCGGCGCGTAATTTATAGACTCGCGACCAGGTGCGCTACGTGTCACGTGCGTGACTTTGTTTACATTAGTACTCGACCTGCGCAGAGCGCGAGGAGATACATCCACTCTGTTTACTGCCACTGGCAGTCAGGAGGGAACGAAACAGAACTCCCTTTTATTACATTTAGAGTGTTGTGGGTTTTCGGTTTAGTGTAAAATATCACCTGAGTTTGGTTTAACCCGTAAGACCACTCGCCTCACGCACATAAGTGACCAAAACAAAGCAGCATGGAGACACTCCATCTTCTACCACCTCTCAGGCAGCAGCCTGCACTCCCAAGTTCTACATGTCACCAGAACATAACCAACCAACACAATAAACGCAGTGTTATACAAAATGGAAGGCCTGTAGTGTTTATTCTCTTACAGTAAGAATTTATCAATTTTTTTGAGGAATTTATTTGAGGTTTTCTGGTTTTTGCTAATTGTGCAATAGAAAAATAATCATTAGATTAATTTTCTAAATAGTCATTAGAATAGTCGACTATTCGATAAAATAATCGTCAGAATAATCGTTTTAAAAATAATCGTTTACCCCCAGCCCTAGTTGCGACATCTATGAACCACCTCCACTCAGTCAGCCAATTCAGTAGTTTGCTTGTAGTTTAACTCTTGATCCAAACGTTGGACCGTTTCTGCCTCTAACGATGGTTTCCGTCGTTGCTGGTTTCTCTTTTTTCCACCACAGCACCGAGATCACCACGTGGAGCTCCAGTAAAACGTGTTCAGACTGTGGAGCGCACGTTTAACGAAGCTTCGAATCAGTAAAAAAATGAATCAAGGAACTTAATGAGTCGAACCATTTGATGATTCGTTTCAGCCCTACTTCCTTTCAACGCTTTAACAACTCTTTAACTGTCATTGGCATGTTTTTACTGTGTGGGCGTCGGAACGAGCCCCCGCACCGTGAGAACAAACATCCCAGCTCTAAAGCCGATCTTCATCCGCGTACGTCACACGTCACGTGATCAGGAAGCAGAAAGTCCACGTGTTAGATCAGGGGAGTCAAACTCAAACTCACACGGGGCCGAAATGAAAATCTGGGATGGAGTCGAGGGACAAACTTAATATTTTTTGAAAAAGTGACGGCAAATTTGAACATTTTCTTTATAAACATTTATGCAATTTAGAACCTTTTAATTTGGAAACAAACTTATTTCTGCATTAACACTGAATGTGGAATAACCAGATTACACACGAGCAAGTCAGGTTTAAATAAAAGGCATCAGTGGTATTCATTACTTGTGGTATATTCAGCATTTTTAAAATCTGTTCAGGATTTATGTTTTCCTGTTGTTTATTCATTTTTCTTATTTTTTATTCTCCTTTTTTCTCCTGTAATAAGTGTCATCGCTGCTGTGACCTCTAGCTTTCCCCACTGAGGAACAATAAAGGGATTTTCTATTCTATTCATCTATCTGCAGCCTTTCCACTTCCTGTTTACTGTAGGTTAAATCTTTTCTCACGGGCCAACAACAAAATAAAAATATCATTTTATCTTAAATGAAAATGCAACATCTCACCTGTTAACTTTCATGTTTTGGAGCAGAAAAAGAGCATAAAACCAACATATTTAAAGCTCAGTTTGCTCCACTGGTTTACTGTGATGCTCACCTGTTCCAGCCAGATACCTGCATCATGGGGTTGATCTGAGCTGAGGAGGAGACTCCTGTTGTTTTGTTCATCTTCATCATAATAACGACAACATTAGATGACAACAGGTGCTCACATAGGTTTGTGCTGATGAACATGTCTGAGCACCTTGACCACGTCGTTGTGTGTCGGGGAGGAAAAATAACAACTACAGCAGCCACAGAGTCATGCTGGTTTGAGCGTGTCGCTGCTCGCTGGAGTTATATCAGCTCTGTCTGGAAGTTAGCTGGAAAACTTTCTCTTTCAGTCGTGAACACATTACTGAGCGGCTAGAATCTCCGTTTCTGGGCTTCAACGTCAGAAAATAGCTGAGTAAACTCGGCGCTGAGTGAGAGGAGTGTTTAGTTTGTCTGAGACAGCGGAGCTGCAGACACCGGCAGCAGACGCTGGAAAAAACACAAAGGAGGGGGCGCTTCGGCTCCGCGCTAACACCGCAAAGGATCATGGGAGTTGTAGTGTTAGTGGGTCAGTTTTAATATATTTTTGATAATTATCTCGCGGGCCACATAAAAATGCTCCACGGGCCACATGGTGTCTGACACGTGTGTGTTAGGAGATCGTTTTGGGACGCTGCTGTAAAAAAAAAGTGAGGCGAGATTCGGAAAAGCTTCTGCCGATCACAATTCAACAACGGCTTATGAAAGAACAGATAACGCTCAAAATGCGCGGATTCTTCCAGTAAGAGGTGAGTCTACTCTTCGTTTTGGTAGTTTTGGCGTTGACATCATCATAGAGCAACGTTCTGTGACTCGTAAAAAAAACAGTAAAAACGCTGAAAAACGCTGGCAGCGAAGAGCTTTTCTGATCAGGAAACGGCTGGCAGTGAGTGAGTTAAACAAAAAGAAAAAATCTAATTTGTGCTGCACATCCATAAAAACATCCATGTTTAGACTTCTTCTGTGTTCGCAAATCAGTCAGTGAATCATACCGTAATCAGTCACACGCACACACCACGGCCCATCGTCATTTACTGGACTAATGATGGGCGAATGGAAAAACAGCCCAACCCTAGTGTGGGCTACCGGAGCTGCAATACTTACTCTGAACTGCGTGGCGCTGAAGAGTCGAATGTTTTTACACACTGGGCCTTTAAGCTCTAAACCACAGCGACGTGCTGAAGCAACAGCAGTCATACGTGCTGTCAGCGCCGCTGCCGTCGTGTCTGCAGCAGGCTGTCTCCCCAACTGTGATTGGTCAAATGATGATGCGTGACTGACGCTACAACAAAGGTAGGTTGTGAACACGATGAAAACCTCTCCTGTCTCTGACTGATTCTCGTAGTGACTGAAACCCGACAGAAGACCAAATAGTTCCCACAGCTTCATCTCACCGCTCCCCATGGGGACGGGTCGAATGCAGGACGTAACTTCACCAGTGTGTGACGATGACTTTGGGACTTTAACTATACTTGGCTTCAAAAATCATTCATTAGAGAGATCTAATCACTCTAAAACTACAAGGTTATACAACAGTGTGAATGAGTGAATGACTGGTTGTGATGTAAAACGCTTTGGGGGGTTTTAGAACCCCAGTAGTGCTAAACATATACAGATCATTATTTTAAAGATTGAGCCTCATTCTCATCATTTCACTGTAATGTCCCACCATAGACTGACCATGTATTCATTCATTCATCCACCAGTACCTGTGTCCATGCTGTCCAGGTCCAGGTAGTGAAGAACACACAATGAATCAGTCCCAGCTGATGGATGATCCTGAAGTGGTAGCAGGTTTTCTTTAGCCGTGTTTAGCTAACAGCTGCAATAGAAACAAAGCAGGAGAGCTGATTAAGATGCTGCTTCAGAACAACGCAGGAGATTAAAGATCCAACGCTTTGGTTCTGATCAGCTGAGGACAGATCCAGTCTGGAAAAGAGGACCTTTGCTCACCAGAGTTCACGGAGTAGAGCTAACCGCTTTTTCCTCCAGAGTCACATTCAGATTCGGGGCTTTTCCGTCGGAGAGTGTGAGCAGGATGGATGAGAGAGCGAGCAGCGATCCTGCATCATGACCAACTCAGATGAGCGAGTCTGATAGAGGGAACCTCTTCAATCTGATGAAAGCAGCAAAACGAGCGCGTTTCTCAGAGAGGCCAAAGGAACAGCAGCAGATCCAGAGGGCAGGAAGTCTAGAGAAAAGCTTTTCTCACCCACAACCTGATTCTGGAGCTCCGATTGTCACGAAGACCGCAGAATATCTTCTCTGGTTCTGGAAAGAACTCCACCAAGTTGTTGAGGAGGAGAAGAAAGTTTCCACAGCCTGGTGAGAAGATTTCTGCAGCAGCAGCAGTTAGTCGCTTTAGCTGATCAACTCTCCCAGAGACTGAAGTGAAGACATTTTTACTGCAGAGCCTCAAATGTTCTCCTCACACACCAGAACAACAAGCTAGCTCTGCTAGCAGCTTCCGGTTTCTGCTTCTTCAGGTGGTCGGTGACCAGCGTAAAGGTGCACTAGCGCCACCTGCTGGAGCAAAATAAAACACACCTGTGTGTTCAGAATGGGACTAATAAAACACACATAACATGTGATATCTTCCTCAAACAATTACTTAAAGTAAAGACAAGTTAGTTTTACACCTGTTATAATAATTTTGTAATTTACTTTATTTTAATCTAGTTTGTTTTTATCTCATTTGTTTTTCTTTGATGTAAAGCTAATTATGTGTCTGTTGCTGCTGCCTCTTGGCCAGATCGTTGTTGTAAATGAGAATGAGTTCTCTATCGACTCATCTGGTTAAATAAATAACATTTTAAGTTGTTTCTTCAAATGCACTGACAAACAAGTAAAATAATTTTCCTTTTTGACGTTTCATTATCTAAATACATTTTATTTACTTATTTTTATATTCTTTATTTAACCTGGAAGGTTCCATTGAGATTAAAGTTCTCAGTTTTGAGGGAGCCCTGGCCAAGAGGCAGCAAAAGATACAGTCACAACATTTCTGTTACAGTTATGTACAAAATTATAGAAGGCAGTTACAACCAGGGCGTGGGACAAGAAGTAAGCCACAAGTTGCCTTATGTTGCAATCATCACACTTTATTTTCCACATGCATTAGGAGAGATTCTGCCGCCCCAGTCCCTGTGACAAATCTGAATATTTTACAAGATGTACACCTTTTGATTCTTCCTCTCATGCTGCAAAGTTTCATGTTGACCCCTCCCTAACTTTATTGAAGGCCATCACCTGTTGCCATGGTAACTGACACCCCTCTCTGCTTTCACTCCCTCCTCCAGATAAGATGGGAGACACATTGCCCCATCTGCTTCCTACCCTATCTTCCTTTGCTAAGGCTGCGATGACCTACGCCCTGGCTTTTTCCCGTTGAACAGCTTTTAGATGGTCTAGTCTGCACCTGGCCTTCGCCTGTTGAGAATCTCCTTCAGCACAAGCTGAAACTTCTAGCAGTATCAGCCTGCATAAATCAGATATAGGTCTAACTCAGTGCTAGAACGTACCAGTCACAGGTGAGTCATCCATTTGGTATATGCATCGTTCAGTTCAAAGGGACGTGAGTAACACCCGAACATTGAAATGATTAATATGGGGATTAACATACAGGTGATTAATTATAAGCATATAAATACATGTGTGATCAAACCTTATTTTCACAAAGCATACTGATGATTAACGATAGATAGATAGATAGATAGATAGATAGATAGATAGATAGATAGATAGATAGATAGATAGATAGATAGATAGATAGATAGATAGATAGATAGATAGATAGATAGATAGATAGATAGATAGATAGATAGATAGATAGATAGATAGATAGATAGATAGATAGATAGATGATAGATCTATCATGTGGGTGCGCATGCGTCAGGATTAAAGACGGGGAAACGCCGAGCTCTGACAATTTGTTCAAATTGTGGTGTTTAATCTGGAAAAGGCGACTTAAAGGTTGGTGGATCTGAAAGATAAGACTGTTGGCAGTGTCATGCCCTCGAAAAAAACGAAACTGCCGCGCCAACAAAAAGAAAATTACGAAGTGGAAGTGTGTCAGCAGGTGGGACAAAGTGACATGGCAGGTGCGCAAGAAAGCAAGGAGCTGTCAGAACTGATACGATTGATAATAAGGGAGGAGATGAGTGTGGTGGTTGAAAAACAATACCATCACGAACGATATTTCAACTTGTGTAAGGAGACTGGGCGAAGTAGATGGAACCTTGTCTGATATGGATACCCGAATAATAAAGTTGGAAGCGGAGTGCGGAACACTGGAGAGGAAAAATGCAGAGCTGATGGGGAAAGTTGAGCGGCTTGAAATGGATAGCCGTAAAAACAATCTCCGTGTATTTGGATTACCAGATGAGGTGGAAAAAGGCAAGCCAACAGCTTATATGAATGAACTATTTAAAGATTTATTTCAAGGAAAGCTGGTGTCTGAGCCTGAAGTGGAATGGGCGCACCGGATTGGACAAGAGAAGAAAGCGGGTGGAAGAGGGATGGTTGTGCACCTGCAAAAGTTGTCAATGAAGGAGAAGATCATAGAAGTGATGAAAAAGGAACGTGTCTTACAAGTATGAGGAATGAAGATAAAGATTTTTCCGGATCTGACAAGGGAGATGGCAAAGAAACGGGCCGGTTTCTGGGAGATCAGAGCTAAACTGAAGAGCGCAGGAGTGAGACACGGTATGATCTTTCCAGCTACGCTGATCCTAACTGTAGATCTCGCTATGGTTAATTTTGGTTGAACCCACATAATGATTTATTTTTGAAAGATTATGTCATGAGCTGGCAGAACGAAGCAGAAATGTTTTTCATTACAACGTTAAAGATTTTTGTGACTGTGTGTGTGTGTGTGTGTGTGTGTGTGTGTGTGTGTGTGTGTGTGTGTGTGTGTGTGTGTGTGTGTGTGTGTGTGAATGTGGTTGGTGTTGGGATAAAGGCTATAATGGAAGCTCAGTGTGAAATTATAAATACCGGTAGAAGAAGTTCTAAACGAATCTTCAATGGCTGATAAAATGTTGTTGCAAAAAGGAGGGTTTAAATGAGCTCATTTGAATGTGTGTAGTTTAAGGAATAAAATAGATGATATTCAAGATATTGTAGAAAAGTATAATTTACAGGTAATGGCAATAACAAAAACACATTTGGATTTGACAATTAATAGTTCTTTATTAGATATAAATGGGTACAGTCTCTTTAGATTGGATAGAACTTTACATGGAGGTGGTGTTGCTTTTTATATTCAAAATCATATTCCTGTTAAGGTAAGAACAGAGTTCACAATTACAGGTGTGGAAGCACTCTGGTTACAGTTACAATTTCCTCATTTGAAATCTGTTTTAGTTGGATGTTGCTACAGACCGCCAGATGCTGCTGTAATGTATCTCCATCAAATGGGTGAAATGTTAGATATGGTTTGTGACACAGGAAATGTGATTTACCTATTAGGGGACTTAAACATAGATTGGAAATCAAGAAATTGCTCATTAAAGAGCAAATTAATCTCATTTGCTAATACTTTTAATTTGTCACAAGTTGTAAAAGATTTCACAAGAGTGCAGGTTAAAAATAATGGTGTATGCTCTAAAATGAGTATTGATTTAATTTTTACTAACATGGCTGAATTATGTTCTGAGGCAATTTCTGTTCCAGTTGGTTGCAGTGACCATAATTTGGTTGCTATTAAAAGAAAAGTCAAGGTGCCAAAAGGTCAACACTTTATATATAAAAGAATCTTTAAAAACTTTAGAGAGAGTGATTTTGTAGAAGAAATTGTCACAATCTGCCCCGCTCACTAATCTGCTCTGCTAATGCACAACAGTTGTTCCCAGTTTGTGTTTCAGGTGGGCGTGTCAGAGCCAGCTGCTCCTGATCTCCTGATCAGAGGACCAGGGGTATTTAAGGAGCGGTGTGAAACAACTCCAGTGCTGGTCGATACTCGCCTTTGGGTAACACTATTTCTGTCTTGAGTTTAAAGCCTCAAATACTCAGCATGTGTTTTTGTCAGTCCGTTCCCGTCAGCCCTGGTCTTGTGTTTTGAACTTCTGCTCATCTTCCACTCAGGATTACTCACCGCTGTCTGGAGTTGTTAATTCCAGTACAAGTCGCTCACCGTCCCCTGGTCTCCTCGCTCTCTGCCGCTCGCCTGTCATCCTTCCTGCCTGCCTACCAATCTTCCCCTCCGGATCTACAGCATTACCTGCCTTCCTGTCTGCCACATGCCCGTTCACGTATCTCTGTTTGGATCCTCAGCCTTATCTCTGTCGCCGATTGACTTCACCATCCAGCCCCAGTCTCTCTAAGGATTTTAACCTGCCCAGTAAGATAAAATCTCCTAAAGCCATTCCTATTTGATTCTCTGGTTCCAGGGTTTGTTTACTGTGAGTTTAATCCCGTTTGTTTTCTCATCCTAGATCGCGGCTTTTCCCTGTTCTCGTTTGGAGCAGCGCTTTTAGTTTCATCACGTTTCTTAATAAATATTAGTTGTTATTTACTCACCCCCGTGTCCTCTTGTGATTCTTTCATGTCCTGGGTTAAATATATACCCAACATGACAGAAATAAGAAACATATGGGCCATTCCCATCTGTACCGAGTCGGCCCGGGCCGGGTAGCCCCAGCCGGCCCCAGCCTGGCCCGGTTGATTCCACACATCCTTGTCTTAAGCCCATGTGGGCTGATTCTACCCACCAATCAGAGGCTTGCTCTAATGGAAGGTGTGAATTTGCTGTCAGCAGTGGGTGTGTTGGCCCTGGTCGGCCTGAAGCAGACCCCCTCGAGAAGAGGGCTGAGAATGAGCCTTGGTTGGCCCGGAAAAATACCAGGCCACCCAGATATGTAAACAACTTACGCTACCCGGCCCGAGCCGACCCGGTACAGATGGGAATGGCCCATTAGATTGGAAAGATGTAACAAAGGAGCAGGATCCGGGTAAAGCTGTAGAGATCTTTGACAATTTGTTAACAAAGGTGATAAACATGCACCGATGAGGAAACAGGCAGTAAGAAATGTAGCTTCTCCATGGCTGGATAAAAAACTTAAGGAACGTATGAGGCAGATGGACAAATTAAAATTAGAAGCAATAAAAACAAATCAATTGGAAACATGGTGCAAATATTGCAAAATAAGGAACATTGTAACCAAACTGAATAAAAACAAAAAACAATTATATTATCATAGAAGAATC